AGGAAACGTTTCCTCAGGTATTTATGTACACCTTTTACCTCAAGTCACGCAACCGGGCCTGTCACCTCCGCGGGGGCCGAGGCGAAAAGAGAGAGAGAGAGAGAGAGAGAGAGAGAGAGAGAAATGAGAGAGAAGGGGGCGGGCCCAGCGCCTCATACGAGGGGGCGTGGCCCGGCTGCCGCGCGACGGGCCGAACGGCCGAACGCCAGAAGCGGGAGGTTGCTTAGCAGAGGCAGGCAGGCAGGCGCGCGCGCGGGGTTGTGCGCGCGCAGTCAACCGTCTTTTCGCGCTCGCGCTCGCTCCGGCTTCCCCCCCACTCTTCCCCCCCCCCCGCAGGGGAGGGAGGAGGGAAAGGTCTCACCGGGGAAAGGGTCGTCGCTGGAGGCCTCCCCCTCCCCAGCTTCCAAATCGGGGGCAAGCGGAGGGCTTTGCCTGTCCCGCCTTTTGAGAGGCCCCTTTTTGAGGGGCGCCTCTTGTGGAAAGAAAGCATGGGGAGGAGGTGCTGGGGCCCCCCACGCTCGCATTTCGTAGCTGTGGGGTTTTATGAAGCGGGGTGGGGGAGAAGGTAGAGGAACTTTACCTTGGGGGGGGTGGTTGTGTGTGTGTGGGTGTGAGAAGGAGTCCCGCCTGCCCGGAGGAGCTGCTCAAGAGGGTCAAGTTTCTCGGAGACCCCCTCAAACTTCTCCCGAAGTGGGAAAAAATCCCCCTTCGTTTTCCCATCCTAATTTTGAGGGGGGTGGATTTGGAAGATTGGATTGGTTTCGATATTCTTTTCAGCCGGGACTGGGGTGGACTCCCTCCCCGAGCCATTAAGAAAAAAACTGTGTGAAAGGAAGGCTTTTTGAATGGGAAGGGAAGGTTACATGGATTCGTGTTTATTTGGAAGAAGAAAATTCTGAGCCTTCCCTGTGCGAAGCAGCCAATCTTCCCGATTTCCCGTGAAGGCAAAAACAAAAGGGATTCTTGTGTGTGGGGGGGAGAAACATTGAATGAAAAGGGTTTTTTTTCCCTCCTCCAATTTGAGGGACCCCCCTCCTGCTTGGACGTGAAAAACGGAGAGGAGACAGACCTTCAGGACGCCTTCCAAAATGCTGCCTCTTCAGGCTTAGTCTGCAAAAAGAGAGAGAGGGAGAGAGAGACTTCTTTTGCAGCAGAGAAGTGATTTCAGGTGCTCTCTTCCATAGGGAGGAAATTCTATATGGCATCCGGGATATAAAAATATACTAGAGGCCTAACCTTTGGAATAAAAATCTGACATCGCGCTTAAGAAGGAGGGTTGACACCCTGCACATCTTCCAGATTGTTTCCTTGTGCCCTGGCTGCTGCTGCTGCTTTTAATGTCTTCCGAGATGTCAGAGCTTAGGAGGCGAGGAGGTGGTGGAGATCATGAAAGAGAAAGCATGGGGGACAAGGTAAGTCTGCATGAGCCTCTTTTCTACCTGTCTCCAGGTATGCAGCCGGAGAGAAGGTGGGAGTTCTCCATTTCTCATCCGGCTTCATAGCTTTTCCTCCTTGACATGTAATGTGGCGTCCCCTTCATTTTGGAAAGAGGAGGAAACGGTGCATTCTCTTCACCATCCCCTCTTTCTGTCAATTACAGCGTCACTTTTCAAAATATGCTTGAGTAATGTATTTAGGGGTGGTGTTTGTTTCCATGTCTTCCCTCTTAGGAAGTTCCCCCCCCCCTGCTTCCGACCTTCTGCATGTGACGAATTTTACGGAAGTGAATGTAGGTTCATATCAGAGTCGCTATTTTTCATTTCCTTTGTTATCGCTCTACTATAAAATGGGAACTGGGTAAGCTTAAAAATGTGGCTGTTCTGCTTTTCTCACTTCTGCGGTAAGAGGCCATTTCCTCTCTACCTGCAGTCTGCGCTCTATGTAGGAGGCCGCTCATATATCACTCCTCCCCCGTTTTCAAGGTATTTGCTGACTTAAAGGATGTAAACAGCGTATTAATTTATGGACTTTGTATAACCGAAAGAAGTAAAACATAGATACTGCATTTTCCGCCCTTTATAAGTATGCACATATTCAGAATTCAGTTCAAAGTCTAACATGACTGGAAACAGCATTTTAAGAGCCTTAAGGTGATTTCCAAACACCTGAGAACCTTTTTGCATTGAATTTTGTGACTATGTGAGAGGATGGATTATAATCACCATGTAACACAATTTTTATTCCTGGCTTCTAAGTGTTATATTTAAACAGCTTATATTTAAAGCCTATGCAAAAACAACTACATTCATCACAAACTTTCATTTTGTGACCACAGCCAAAAAGTTTCATATGTACAAATCAGGTAATTTTTTATCTTTTTAAGCAGTTAGAGAAGAACAATATATACTTGGATGGTGAAAACACAAAGACAGTCAAAACCTGGTTTAGAAATGAGTAGATTTTCTAGATTTGAGATTATTCTGCAAATCACTTTCTCAAAGAGGCCTACAAGCATAGTCCTCTCATCCTTTCATTATACTGTCCTTGGTAATGAGGAATCAAAATCCAGTACATCTTGATGAAAGCATTCGCCTTACTCCTCTGAGTAAGCACCCATGTTCTCCTTGAATTTGTCAAGATAAGCATCAAGGATATGAATCTTGAAAGATATTCTGTATCCCATTTTGGCATAATTCTTTATGGGAGTCTGAACCACCTACTCATAGTTTTCAGCCTTGTGATTACCCAGAAAGCCATAAACCACTTCAACGAAATAATTCCAAGCTACTTTTGGTTCAGCTTCTTGGTGAATTCATCACACTCTATGATCTTCTTTATCTGTGGTCCAATGAAGATACCTGTTTTAACCTGTGCCTCTGACAGCTATGGAAAGAGATGTTGGAGGTAGTTGAAAGCTGCTGACTCCTTGTCTAGAGCAATGACAAATTGTTTGATGAGGCCTAACTTGATGTGCAGTTGTGGCATCAGCATCTTCTGAGGTTCTACCAGCAGCATTGTTGTTATGTTGTTTTCCTACGGAAAATTGGTCTGCTGTGGCCAGTCCCTTTTGTGATAGTGTGCCTTAGTATCCCAGCTTCCCAGAGGCAAAGAAACAAGAAAACTTCATGAAACTGCCTTGGAGGCCCATCAGGAACAACACCATTTTGAAGTCTCCAATGATACCCAAGCCATAATCATCATACTTCAAGGCATTCAGCAACATCTTGACACTGGTGTAGTCCTCCTTGAGATGCACATAGGGAGAGATGGGTACTTTTCCCCATTATGAAGCAACAAGCCTTTGAGGCTCCTGGATGAATTGGCGGCATTTACTTAGATTGCAGGTGATTCCTATAGCCTCAAATAGACCAGCCACATTGTTGCAGAAACACAGACCAACTTGCCAACTGAAGAAGTTGGAAAAACAACTCTCATCTGTGTCTTGCACACTTTCATCCAACAAGTTCCATTCTTTGAGCCTAGCTGTCAGAAACTCAACATGGGACTTGGAAAGAACAAGGTATCTGATCAGATCATTGAGTTGGGGAAGTACGGCTTTCTTTCCTCAGTTTCACCTGTGAAATTGTAATCTGCATTTGCAACATCTTCGCTATCTGACTTGCTTCTCACTACTGAAGATGGCTGATCCCTCTCCTGAGGGGTAGGAATGGGAAGCTCAGGGAAGTGCGGTACTGGGGTGATGGATGAAGGAATGTCTGCATACATGATAGGAGGCATGCTCTTGCCAGTTTGATGTTTGGAAGGATCCACTATGCAGAATTAGCAGTTACTTGAACGGTCAATTGGTTTCCACCAACTTCTTGGAATAGCAAACTTCATGCTGCTCTTTTCTCTCCTGTAGCAGCCTGCAAACATAGCAGAATTATATAAATTTTTTAAAAAGATATTTCACACATCTAATTTTGTACAAGATATTGTTATAGGGCATAAAATATGTATTGTAGTCTCTTTTCCTAAAAGAATGAACATGTTTAATTGCAACTCTTAAACTCCAATAATTCACTAAATTCCATCTAGTGAGGAGCAATTGTTCAAGTGTTTAGTTTTTTGAATGTGAAATAAGGTGCCCAGGGCTAGTCTTGATCCCTGACAAGCATTCCAGAGTATGATGTAGGCCTTACACATCTTAATAGACACTTTTACAGGGTACTTTATCATTCTTGTCTTGATAAATTATCCACACACCTAGCAAATTGCATCTGCTGGGTGCAAACAACTTCTTGATGCCATCTAAATCAAATATTGCTATTTACTGTACTCTTACTCAGCAATTAGACAAACTAAAATGTTACTTTAAAGTACCTTTACTTTATACTTCTATGGATACTACTGGATAGTCCCAGAAAGTGCTTTAAAGTTAAAAGATTCCAGAAAGTTCTAGGAAAATCTGGTCATGTCTAGAAACTTCGACAGTTCTCATCGTTCCAGAATATTCTGGAAGTCTATTCGGCATTGAATGTGAATTGAGAATGTTCGCAAAAACAGATAAATTTCAAAATATTGTTCTGACCACAGAAGCAAAGTTTTTGTTGAACAGTAGCTATTTTCTATTTATTTTAGGCATAAGGAATCAGGAAAAAACTCTTTGTACCCAGGAACAAAAGCTAAATTGAAATTTGTTACGTAGTGATATTTGAATAGACATGTTTTTATAAAAGAGCACCATACACTTTCACAATTATATACAGTTCTGTTGCTTAAAAAGAAAAATAGCCCTAGCATCATATAAAATAGAGATCCTATGCTACTTTTACTATGAACTAGAATCTATAAATATATTATTTTAAGGTAATATGTAGACTCCTTATGCAGTACTGTTTCTTATCAACTAACTTAACTAAGCAACTGAACATAGTTAAGCCTTTGAATTGTTTCACCTTTGGTTGCAAGTAAAATGCAAACAGTTTGGATTCCTAAGAGCTATGTAACCTCTATACCCATTGAAATGACACTAGTATTATTTTATACATTATCACTAGAGAGTGGATAGCTTTGTTGCCATGCTACCACTATTGTCCCATAATTAATTCCAACATAAATTGTTTGGAATCTTTTTATTACATACTGCTTTAGTGGTCTATTGTCTAGGCATAGGTTATTTATATTAGATATATTTTAAATGGCTGCCTTTATAGAATTCTAACTCTGAAGTGCTAGTCTTCTATTCTTCCTGATGTGTTAAGTTTTATTGTACAGACTTATTTTTTAAATGGATGAGAAATCAGATTTCCCTTAGTTCAACTATTCTTCAGCTATTGCTAGTGTCATTGATCCCTCTTGTTTTAGGTCTCTTTTGTGGACATGTTTATCAAGTGGGATCCATTCTATGACTGCCTTAGTCCACCTGCCATCGGTTCTTCTTGCTATGCGATCAGCCCATTTCTACTTCAATTCTTTTACTCTCTTGATGATATTGTATACTTTTGTTTGTTTTCTAATCCATGCGCAGGTCTTTCTATCTTGTCTTGTAATGCCGAGCATGTATCTTTCCATGGCTCTTTGCACCACCCTTTAGCTTTTGTATCGATTGCGAGTGTCCCTATTTCACAGGCATATATTAGAGCAGGTCATACTGATTGAAAACTTTCGGAATGCATGATCTTTACAATTGCATTATATTATATTACAAAGCATGTAAAACTATAGGAAGGATTATATTGATGAATCCAGAGTTTTGCTATGTTTATTCTAAAATCCGTTCCATCAATTAACTTTCATAAAACACCCTGGTCTAGATAAATAAGATATATTTTATTTAATTTGTCCATCTACTGTGAATTAGGTAAGACCTATAGAGGCCTTTACATTTCTTCTTCCTGTTATGACACCTCTTAAAGGTTAGGTTGCCTTGTATATTCCCCCAACCTTTATGAATGACCTTTTAGTTTGAATTGTGGTGCTGATTTGCAGAATGAAGATATTTGAGATGTTAGGATACTTCCTTTTGAGATTATGTATGTAAGGACTTTCCATACTTGCAACTAACTGTGGTACCTTGGCAATGTCTTTTTTGTAATTTTCCTTTAGCTCTTCCTCAACCCAAGAGTCAAACAGGCTTAAACTTATACTAAAGTAATGTTTTCCTCCTTACACTGACAGTGACATTTGCAAACTATACATCTGATTCACTTTTCAATCCATTTAGTTGGTGACAAATTCAAGTGACTCTCACAGCTGTGGTCTGTTGGATAAGTCTTGGTAATTTGGGCCTGATCTGGTTATGTTCTCATTTCTTTTTGTCCTCTGTTAACTACTTTTTTGCCATTCTTTGTATTTTCAGTATAGAGGAGATAGAAAAAAAAAGGAGAGGTGAAAGTTTTTTTTTACTTCTGTAAAACCCCTTTTGTTTAGTCAGGCCATTGGTCTATAATGCATAAGAATATAACCATCCTCTCCTGCCTTGTTTTGCACTCAGGTGTGGTTTCAGAGGGGGTACAGGCTTTGGACATTGTTAAAATTGTACTACATTGAAATGATAATAAAATAGTCCTGCTTGATCCTGGAACTAGAAGATTTTTGTCCCTTGCATATAGATAGCATTATGATTGTGTTTATGTTATTTAGTTTCCTTGATAATCCCAGCCACCTTCTCAGTGCTTAACTTTTTTTCCAAATAATTTTTTCCCATCTTACACATCATTTTAAGTACACATTCACATGATAGTTATTCTTCTTTACATTTATCATTCTTGTACATTTATTATTTCATTTAATAAGTTATAATGTGCTTAACTTTTATTAGTTGAGAGAAAGGAGCTCAGAGATATCAAACTTCAGATGCCAAATTCCACCCCACTACATTAATGTTGTGATTGGTAGATATTTTCCTCTGTCTGGGAATGTTCAAAAGAAGGAAGGACAGCAAAGTCAGAAAGGTAGATTAAAGGCTTTGTTAATGCTGCAGATGCATAATCAAGATAATACTATTAAGATGCAAGGGAGCAGAGAGATTTGAGAGAGATTAGGGATTGACAGTGGAGAAAGCATATAGGCATAGTATATTGCCATCTGAAGGGTAAGGGGATGACACTAACTCAGCCCAGGTAGTCCTTGACTTATGATCACAATTGAGCCCAAAATTTCTTTTGTGTTTATATTATCTTAGGCAACTTTAAAACAACGACTTATTAGTTGCATTCAATTATGGGTATCACCTATTATGATTCCATGGTTTTCTGTTATTATAGTTTAATACTATTATTGCAAGTGGTACTCCAACTAATCAAGAAAATGAGTTACTCCCATAATGTCAATTAGCAAAAATGAAAGGATGCACAGGATCCTCCTTTACCGACTTCTGTGGTTACCTAAATATGTGTCCTTCAAGATGCTCACAACAATACCCCTTTTGCTGGAAAGTGATGCTGAAGGGTTCATTTTAATCTGTTTATTTAATGCAAGGAAACCATTAATGCATCTAATCAAACATCTTTTTCAGTGATACATATCTAATGATTCTTCCTTGAGTGCTATGCAGCTGTAGGACAACATTTAAATTTTCTCATCTCCATTTATTCTGTGCTCTTAACTATTTTTGAATTGCTATTAATAGTACTAATTACATTACTGAATTACTAGACAACCACCTCTGTTAGGTCGTCCTTTTAGAGATATTTCTTTACCTCACCGATAAACAGAATAACTATGGGTGGGCAAAAAAAAAACCTAGTGGGAGCAGGATCAACTTCTGAATGTTGAATTCCTGCCAGCTTCTCCATTGATTTTGCTTGTAGAAAGCTGGCAGGGAGTGTCAGAAGTGATGATCATGTGCTTATGGCAATGCTACAGAGTCACAGCTTTGCAAATACAAGTGATGTGAAGATCCCTGAAATTTCAATTACACAGAAGTAATGACTTCCAGATTTTGTACTCATTCTTTAAGTTAGGGGATTTGAAGTATGCTGATTCAAACATTTTAGCATGAAGATACACCATTTGGACTATTGGCATCCAGAAATAACTTTATTTATTTATTACACATGCTTTTATGTGACCCACTTGGAAGCAATTCCTGGTTTGTAAAAGTTGAGATTATTTGTTGCTAAGAGATGGTATAATTCCTTACCACAGAATGTTACCGTAAGGCTTTTTAGAAACACATTTGTTCTGAGAAGGAGCATTGGAAGAGTATGATTTGAGATGTAAACTTTAATCAGTACATCTATATACCTATAAAATTCTGTTTGATGTCTGTTTGATATTTTGTAATCAGTTAGAAACAGTGCATCATAAGCCAACTATTTCTGAATCAACATAGCTCAAGTGGGCTAATTTAGAGAATTTGTCAAAAATCTGGGACTCGTGACTTCTGTGAAATTGAAATTTGGCAAAGTTGTGACTGCTTCTGTGCTTTGCGCCGCCACAATCAGTCATAGTCAGGTGATATTCATTTCCAACAATCCGTGCCAGCTTCCTACAAGGAAAGTCAATGGGGAAGTTGGCAGGAAGTTGGAAGTTGTTCCTATTCCCACTGCTCTTTACTTGCCCATGATCACTCTGGTTTTATATTTAGGTAAGGAAATATCTCTAAAATGTTGACCCAACAGATTCTGGATTGACTAGACATTATAAGAGTGGAATTATGTAAATATTGCTACGTACCGTATGTGGTTTTTACATAGCAAACACTAAAGTGCAACAAATGATAATGCATTTTTCTTAGTGGAGTTTTTATAATACTTTGTTAAGAAAGCCTCTGTGCAATTAGAACCCATGGCTTATGGAGTATATAGATCTCAAAAGGACACATATAATTCAGTTCAGAATTATGCATTTTGCATAAGTACAACAGAATAATGAAATATTATCTTTATTTTCCTTCGACTTAAGGAAATCTTCTGGAACTTCAGGGTAGTACAATCTCAGTACTTAAAAAACCATTATTAGTTTATTGATAAACCATATGACTTATTCTTTGCATGCAAACATAGCTCAAGCTATTTTGAAGAAATTAATAAAGTTGATTTAATAAACATGCCAATTTATTTTCATAGTTTTTTTGTTGATTGAAACTGTACCTGAGATGTATATTCAGTTTTGAAATGTATGATAATTTGAAATTTGAAATTTTTGTTTTAATTATATTGCCGTTATGTTTTTCATTGCCCACAATCCATTGGGAATGATACATCTTACAAAAATCACTGAATGAATAAAAAAATAAATAAAAGAGGAATGGTTGTTGTTAGAACATTTGGACATGCTACAGTTGCAACCTAAAATTTACTTTTAAGAAATTCTTTTACTTGCTTTATTGAAAGAAGCATTTATGCATTTGGAAATAAGAACAGATGTGTGAAGCTTTAAAACATGCCTTGAGAATATTTTTAAGTTGTCCAACAAGATATTCATATTCATTTTATTTTTATTTTTACAGTATTAAAATAGCATGGGCTATTACTGCCTCAAATGTGTTATCTTACTGATTCCGACAGTAAATCTCAACTATATGTTAGTGGAGTCAAGGATGGACTGTATATACAAAATCCAGGTTCCAGAAAGCCTAATCATGTGACCAGTTAGGATTTTATAGTGAAACTGCTATAGTCAGCCTCCAAATGATTAAAAAAAACCAGCATTATATATCTTAGTTTAAATAGTTTGGAGATCTAACTGCATACTTTCTGGTTTTTTTTGAGTGAAGCAGCTATGTTAGTGTATACTTGCAGTTTTATTTGGTTATTTTAAGTAAAATTCTGGTATGTTTTTGTGCTTAAATTGCTAAATATTATGTTTTTATCGTGCACTTTATGTTTTAGGATATAGATGAAAATGAAAAATTTGGAGAACAGGACGTCAGAAATGATTCAGAAGTTCCTGAAGTTGTCCCGGCAACAGACAGCACTCCAGAAATTTTTAAAAGGGCTCTTTCTGGCTTATCTTCCAGGTATGAGGGATAAATGTAGCTGGTGTGATATTAACTTAAAATTAATATTTGTCACAGGCTATATGCAAAGAACTGTTTAGAAGGGTCTTCAGCAACCATTTGAATGGAAGTGGGCATGTTAACACAGTTCAGATCACTCGTTTATGTACAAATATTGAGTCAGTTAAACATTCCAATACATCGTAGTTTTATTGTATACTTCACATATGTATTTTACTAACAGAACAAGCGCTTGAATCCTACAGTCATTTCCTTAGAACGAAGATCAATGAGTACAAGTAGACCTATTTCTGATATGTTGTCAGTTCTCATGTGAAAGTCGGATTTATTTTTAAGAAATCCCTGTATTCAAAACTTTCATTGTTTGTAATGTTACTGATTAGCTAAACATTTTCTCTGGTTATAAAACTAACTTGTATATTTGTTTTTTGTTTTTTCAGATGGAAGAACTGGTGGATTCGTGGAATTTTAACTTTAGCAATGATTTCAGGTTTCTCCCTCATTATATACATGGGATCATTTATGCTGATGCTGCTTGTAAGTTTTATATCTCAACATTTCATTTAATTCTAGGTGGAACTATAAACGTCACAATCCAAGGATTAATTGTAACAACAATGAATGAAGATGTTCATGCACACAGAGATGCCTTGCAATGTTACAATAAATGGGCAATTTTCAGAATTCCTATGGTTTTATTAGAATGATATGCTTCTCTAGTTATATCAGCAGAATGACAATTCAGTTTCATTTAGTTAAGACAAATTGATTGTACAAATTCTAGAAATGACAGCATACGAATATCTTATAATTTCTCATGCCTCTAGAAAATCCGGTGTTAGAACTTCTGTAACCCCTTTCCATTATTTCAGGTCTTAAGCATTCAAGTCAAGTGCTTTCATGAAATCATCACTATAGGTTATAGAGTATATCGATCTTACGACCTACCGTGGTTTAGAACATTAAGCTGGTAGGTAACAACTGGATTTTTTAAAATTTTAGCTCTGATTTCCAAATTTCTTTTTTATCATGGTTGCTTCCTAAGAAAAATATCAACCTAGGATTTATGATTCTGATTCCAGCCGCTGGCTTTGTATGTTGCTTCCATTCTGAATGCATTTAAACTGAACTCTTGAGACCCCCACAACAGTGGGATCAACTTAACTTAATTGAATTAATAAGGTCCAAATTATAAATATTTATCAAATAACACTAATTTAAATAATTGTATTCTTCTTATGGCAAAATATGTCTATTTTAGACAACCCTCCATCAATTCTATGATTTATTTTAAAGTATCAGAATATTGGTATTCTTTTGGATTAAACTAAGTGAACGTTTTGATTCTATCCTTTTAAATTATATGTAATACTAAGAAAGTAAAATAAAATATAATAAACTTTGTAGCTCATATCTTAATCTATAATATATTTTGTAGGTACTTCTTGTTATGCGTGAACTATTTCTTTTATGGTGAGACAGTAGCAGATTACTTTGCTACTTTTGTTCAGAGACGAGAACAACTTCAATTCCTAATTCGCTACCACCGATTTATATCTTTTACACTTTATCTGGCAGGTAAGAATAAATCTTGTCAGTAATCAGTGTATTTCACGTGCTTTAATGTAACTTGTTGAACCTTCTACCTCTGGTATTCTTCAAAATATGAAATGTTATCCTTTTATATGGCCTTAATGAATTTATTAGGAGAATGGAGAACATTCGTAGCAACGTGTTACAAAGTGAGTTGACATAAGCAATGGCAGTGGCACTGGAGGTTTTCCGAAGACATTTCTGCATGTATGTGCACGTAAAATGTTTTGCTGGCAGAAAATTCGAAAGCGCTTTTGCAACTGCTTTCACAAGGGTTTCTGGAGAATGTCTCAGTCTTTAAGGAGATTCTCTTTGTTTGCACCAACATGCTTTGTGAAACACACTTTGAATACTTTGCATAGCTCCATATAGCCTTTGAAGGTTAAAAAGAAAGGAATATAAAATACATATCCAAGAGTTGCAATGAATATTGTAGACGTATCAAATCATTTTGATACTCTTTCTGTCTTCTGTTCTTAATGAAACTGTAGATTAGTTCTGATATTGGAGTATGGATCAGAAAAGACATGGCAATCTTTGTATAATCCCGAGAGCATGTATTTAGCAATAGCATTGTAATAATAATAGAAGTAATAGTTTTTCTTTGTTATATATTTTATATGGTTTTTGAAGAATAAAACTCCTAGAGGAATATGTCAGGAAAACTGTTGTCAGTTTACTCTCCGTTTAATTTCAAGCTGTGTTTAGGTAGCAAGAGCGTTAACATTTTCAAGGAAGAAGAAATTCTCTGGATCACATAAAAGGCAGAGTTATGTTGCATGTTCTCAAAAATTGCATTCTTGCCTTGTAATTGTAATGTGTATTAGTGCTGCAGAGATTCTAGGGCATTTTGGGTAGTAGATTATATATAATAGAAGCTGCCCTTTAATGTGCTTTTCAAACTTGCATGGAGTACAGATCATCAAGGCGTATGTTAATTTGCAAACTTTATTAACAGATAAGGAAGAATACATGCTACCTAGAATATGCATTTTTAATAACAGCCCAAATTATAGTTTCAAAAGGTGGTTTATAGAAATTCATTAATTAATTGTAAAGTGAATGTCCGGAGGGGAAAATAACTTGGATGGTGGCAAGTGACATTATATATATCATGATAGAAATGACACAAGTATATATGTCCTGTGTGTCATGATGGAAATAACATAGAATTGAATGTATTTATTCAAAATATTTGTAGATTGCAGTGGGACTCTTATAAATACAAATGAGCTAATAATCAGCAGTTTTTTGCTGATGAGCTTAATTATTTAGCATAATGATAACAATATTGTAAAACATATATCTGTCTTCTTTATTTGTACAGGGTTTTGTATGTTTGTATTGAGTTTGGTGAAGAGACATTATCGCTTACAGTTTTATATGGTATGTATCAATGTTTGGGTATCTCAGTTGCTGTTTAAATGTATTTTGGTTTTGGAATAGAAATGTTCATAAAGTAAATTTTAAAGACTCATGGACACAGCTCAAAATTATTTACATCATGTTAATTTGACTTAGTAGTGAATAAGATCTGGGTCAAATCTAACAAAAATTGGTAGAATACAAATCAAAACTAAACCTTCTATGTTTGTTAATTGATCAGGCATTAGATATATTGAGATTCTAACTTCATTATACAAGTATTATGAGGAGGAAACACATTGATTGAATCTCTCTCTCTATATGTGTGTGTGTGTGTATGTATATGTATATATATATATGTATATGTATGTATGTATGTATATAAATGTGTGTGTGTGTATTCCAGCATAACTCTGGAACGCCTCGAGCAATTTCAACCAAACCTGATACACAGATGACTTACTCTCTGCAAACAAATAGTGTCGGGATAAGACACCCCTAACACCCCTTGGGGTGTGTGTTCTGTTAAGATACAGCCTGTTGTGCCTTCAAGTGGCTTCTACTGTATTGCCATAAAATTGCTTCTACTATACAGGACAGTGGAGTTGCCATAGTAACTCACAGTACTCCACAAGGGGACTCCCTCTCGTAAGAGGGAAAATCCAACTTTAGATTATGTTTGGTCCAGATATTTTCCCCCTATAAATAAATACCCGGGTAACACCAAGTTATCAGCTAGTTTATCAATAAGAAAGGACTTTTTATCTAGTTCTATGGAGATCACATTTTAAGAATTAATAATTTGTAGAACCTATGCACAATTTTTCAGTTACATAGCATGATTTCATTAACATTTTAATGTTCAAATTCTAAATTATGTATACATCTAGACTGATCATTATGATTTTCCTTATATACGATTCATGTTAACTTAATTTCTGCATTTTTAATTACCAAGTGGAAGATTAAATATTGTTATAGATGTCTGTTCTCATAAGTTTTGTAAAGCTTTTTGCTTTTGTAACTAATTGTTGTGTTATTACCCTATTACCAGTTCGCATGGACTCATGTCACTTTGCTGATAACTGTAACTCAGTCTCATCTTGTCATCCAGAATCTGTTTGAAGGCATGATCTGGTAAGGGAACAATAATTCTTGCAAATTTGGATATACATCTATATCTATATTCTAAGGAATGTTACTGTTTTTCAATGGTTTTTTAAAATGATTTCGAAGTGAGACCTTTCTGATGTGTATCAGAATATTGCTATAAAGTTTCACAGTTAAATCCTTTATCCTCTGACTGACAAGAATTGGTCATGATAATCAAACTTTCAGCTGGTGTGTGTAGGTCTGAGTTAGAAGATTATTTTTGTCTTGTGGGAGAGCAAAGAGAGGTGAACAGGTGCCAGGATAAAGTGTATCATCTGTCTTCAAAACAAAGTTGGGCATGAATTCCAATAACCAGGGAATACTTGAAAGGAAAAGTAGAGTCCAGCAGCCACTCCATGTCCACCAAAGACACAAAGAGCCTATAGCCAGCCAGCCAACAGCTAGTAACAAACTTTCCTTTCGCCACTTTGCCAATTGAAGGATAACGAAAGCCTTTGCATTGGCAGCACTTCAGAGCAACAGACAGCAGTGTTGAACCGAGAGTAGCAGGATGCCAGCTACCAACAAAAGCCAACTAACTCCAAGGTGGCTAAAAGGTGGCTAAAGAGATACTGTTAAGAGGATAACACCCCTCCCCCCACAAATGGGATTCTTTAGGATTGAGGAATATAATATATGTGGGAATATGTGCATAGATAAATAGTATAGATTTCATGCTAAGAATTAAATGGCAAATTAAGAAGTAAATAAGTACAGATGGTTCTTGGCTTATGACCACAATTGAGAATTTCATTACTAAGCAAGGCGACTGTTAAGTGAGTCACGTCTAATTTTACCACCTTTTGATCATGATTGTTAAGTGAATCATTTCAGTTGTTAGGTGCATCATCATGTAGTCAGTAAGTGAACCCAGCTTCTTCCATCGATTTTGCTTGTCAGAAGCCATTTGGGAAGCTTGCAAATGGCAGTCACATGAACTTGGGGTGCTGTAACTGTCATAAATACATGCCCAAATTTTGATCACATGACCACAAAGATGCTGTAACTCTCATAAGTGCAAGGACCAGTCATAAGTTCTCTCTTTTCAGCACTGTTGTAACTTTATATGGTTACTCTAAAGAGTCACTAAACAAACGGCTGTAAGTCAAGGGGCCAACTGAACCATAACATTACTGAGCATGACTGTGTAAACTTACTGTATAACATAAGAAGGAAGATACACTCTTTGTTGGTCTGCACCCTTTTCTAAAAAAAGTCCTCCCACCAACATACTAGCAGCGCTTGCTTTCAGTTTAACAATACTTGCAGTACAATCTCTGTTTGTTGAGAACTCATGGATGAATATACGTAGCTTAGCAACCAGGTATTATTGAAAATCACTCTCCCTAATTCAAGTGGATTTACAGGTAGTCCTCGTCTACAGGTAATCCAGATCATTTAGTGATCATTTGAAGTTACAACAACACTGGAAAAAGTAACTTATGACCATTTTCCATATTTAGGACCATTGCAGCATCCCCATGGTCATGTGATTTACATTCAGATATTTGACAACTGCTTCATATTTAGGACGGTTGCAGTGTCCTGCCCTCATGTGATCACATTTTCAATCTTCCAACAAGCCAATGTCAATGGGGAAGCCAGATTCAATTAACAACCATGTTTCTAACTTGACAACTGCAGTGATTCACTTAACTAAGTGTGGCAAGAAAAGTCACAAAATGGGACTAAGCTCACTTAACAATTTTCTCACTTAACAATATAAATTTTGGGCTCAATTGTGGTCATAAATCAAGGACTCCTTTTTGTTTAACTGGTTTGGGTTACCATTATTCCAGAGCAACATTCCTGCCTCCTTTTCTTTATTAGCAGCTGCTCTGAAGTTGAGATTCCCTTTGGCAAAAAACTAATGACAGACTCTCTTGAGCTGCGTTCAGTTCTTAGTGACTTAGTAGACGCCAGTATTGTTGAAGTATAAATTACAAACTAAGGCATTATGGTCATAATACGGTCTGTTTTTGAATTTAAATCGTTTAACTTTTTTTGCCTACTTGCTGTTCAGGTTTCTTGTTCCAATCTCAAGTGTCATTTGCAATGATATTGCTGCTTATATATGTGGATTCTTCTTTGGTAGAACACCATTAATTAAGGTAAAAATACATAGTTTGAAATATGCACATTGATTACAAGGTAGTTCAGAGAAACTTTTTAAACCCTGCCAGTAATTTCTCACACCGCTTGATATCTGAGTGACATTGCCTCATCCAACCTTAATAGAAACCACCTCTGGTTTTGAGAAATACTTTATGATTTGAGAGGCATCCCTTATAAAGCTTTTTTAGACATCCGTCAGAATTGCAAAGAGACATAAAGGGTGTTTTTCTGATAATGAAAGTGCAAAATAAAATATATAGTTTGTGCTTGTATTTCTAACAGATTATAATCTTAGTTTAGCTAATATATAGTACATATTATCTGGCTAACACTATCTTCGGAGTGTTATAATTCTACTGGATTTTAAATTGTTTGATTTATTCTATCCCTAGTTAATATCTATGCCTGATTGTTTTATATTACAGTGTCTGAAAGTAGAAATAAAATTGTTGCAGTGAGATTATGATTGTGTATAATAATACTAATTTTTGTAGTTGAGATGTATATTATAAAAAAATATAAGTATCCTTATTTCTTACTGATAATACCACCATTCCACCTCCAAATTATGATTGCTAGAAAACTAAATCCTAGATATGTCATTATTCAAATCATACAGTACAGTGGTGCTTAACAGTCTGTGTACCCTTTTGAATTTGCAATATTTTGACATAAATACAACCTAAAACAATTTATTCTCCACACAAGTCCTAAAACTAGATAAATTAAGCAAACAAATGAAAAACATTATACTTCTATTTTATCACTTAGGAAAATGATCCATAACTATCTTTGCTTTCAGTAATTGTGTGCCGACTTGGGCAGCAGTAACTTCAACTGAACATTTCCATTAACTGTTGGTCAGTCCTGCATATCAGTTTTGAGAAATTTTAGCCATTCCTCCTTACAGAACAGCTTCAGTTCAGTTAGCTTTCTCATGTGAACTGCCTGCTTCAGGTACTCGGATCTCTTGAGATTAAGGTTAGGACTTTGACTTGGCGAGTCCAGAACATTAACTTTCTTCTGCTTTAACTATATGTATGGCCTTTGTGTTTTGGGTCATAGTCTTACTGCATGACCCACTTTCTCTCAAGCTTCAGTTCATGAAAAGATACCCTGGCATTCTCCTGTAAAATTTGCTGATAAAATTCAGAATTAAAATTTCCAACAATGATGGCAAGCCATCCTAGCCTAGAGGCAGCAAAGCAGGCCCGAACTGTGCCACCACTATATTCCCCAGATGGCATAAGGTTCTTACACTGGAATACAGTGTTTGCCTTTCGATAAACATAATGCTTTTCACTCAAGACATTTCTGTTTTGGTCTTATCTGTTCAAAGGACATTCTTCCAAGAGCATTCTGGCTTACCCATGTGATCATTCACAGTAATGGCCAGCAATGGTGTTTTGGAAGTGTAGTGCTTTTCTTTTTGCATCCTGCACACTGTTGTTCATCAGTGTTTCAGGGATAGTGGTCCCATAAGAACCAACATTTGCCAATGTAAGAGAGGTCTTTAATTCCTTAGATGTTCTCCTGGGGTTCTTTGAGACCTCCCGGATTATTACATGCCTTGTTTTTGGGGTGATCTTGGTCAAACACTCCTGAGGAGGATAATCATAGTGTTGGGTTGCCTCCTTGCCCACATACTGCCTGACAGAAGACAGGTGGAGTCCAAACTCTTTGGATAGAGTTTTGTAAACTTTTCTTGCTGGTGAACATCACCAGCTGTTTTTCAGAGATCCTCAGAAATCTTCTTTGTTTTTAATCCACAATACACTCCCACATACCTGTGTTGTAACAATCTTATTTTGCTAGAGAATACTCATAATTCTGTTCTTTAAATAAAGCAGGACCACCCACATTCACACCTGGTTATTATCCCATTGATTGAAACACCTGACTGATTTCCCCTTCAAATGAATTGAAAATTCTAGAAATTCAATACTTTTGCCACATACTATTACATAGCTTGGGATCATTTTTCTCAAATGAATAAATGCAGTATAATGTTTTTTAATCATTTAATTGTATTCTCATCTTGTTTTAGAACTTGTGTGGAAAAGAGGTCAGATTTCAGATTGTATTTATGCAGAAATATTGAACATTCAAAAGTGTTCGCAAACTTTAAGCACCACTGTGTATAGTCTTATTTAGCATGTTATATGCACCTGTTAGATCATGTTAGCAACTACATTTGCTAATACGATGTATTTATCTCACCCATCTTCTTAAAGTTTTTTTTTAAAACGTGGATATATAAAACCTAAGAATTCCAATTTGTTTTATAGACATTATATACTATTTTATTTATTAATTAAATTTCTGTGCCACCTATCTCACTGTCAAGTGACTCTGGGCAGGTTAGAACATCATAAAAAGAGGAAGATAAAATATGAAAACATTAAGACATCAAACAATAAATGTTATTTAAAAAAATGGATAAACTAGGGGCCAATGGACAAACAGAATTGAGGTGAGAAAGATAACATAGGAGATGACCAGGCTAAGCATGAGGGAGGGATCAAATGTGTCATCAGTCTCGAGTCTCCTCATGCCCACTAGAGGTCCATGTCTCTATGTCCAGCCCACCTTGAATTCCGTTCACTCTTTATCTACCACCAATTGCTTTGACATTTAATAGTTCAGATTTCTTATAGAGAGCTTACAATACAATAAATCTATATATTTTTAAAAACTGCCTGGACTCCTGATTTACTGCACTTGACAGATTATTCCACCTTTCATGGAATGAGTGACCTTTTGATGTAACTCTGTCTGAATTTTCATGTTGTTTGGAAGGAACTTAGACAAAAGTAAATGAGTCAACATAGCAATGTTTGCCAGAAGAGGAAAGAGTCTTGTGCCACTTGCTGCTTTTTAATTTTTAATTTTCTCTTTTTGATTAGCTCTCTCCCAAAAAAACCTGGGAAGGCTTCATTGGTGGCTTCTTTATCACAGTTATATTTGGATTTATTGTAAGTGGATGCAGTGTTTTCTTTACTAATGTTGTATTATTTGGTGCTGGTACTGAAATTGGCATAAAGGAATAGAATTGCTGGTAATTTGTAGCATTAAACTAATTTAAAATTTAATGCTCTACTCTTGTTGAAGTTTATGAGTGGCAGATATTACAATGGTTGGTTATTAATATGCTGTGTATATTAGCAACCATCTGTAATCACCATAATAAAAATCATTGTGGAAACTGAGAAGTAACTCACATCTAGCTGAGCAGTATGTATTTATAGATATTTTTGAAGATGGCTCTCAGATGAGTATTGTGAATATAATATAAGATGTATTATGAGCTGCAGTGGTGCAGTGGTTAGAGTGCAGTACTGCAGGCTGTTTCTGCTGACTGCTGGCAATTTGGCAGTTCAAATCTCACCAGGCTCAAGGTTGACTCAGCCTTCCATCATTCCCAGGTGGGTAAAAGGAGGACCCAGATTATTGGGGGCAATAAGATGACTCTGTAAACCGCTTAGAGAGGGCTGTAAAGTTCTGTGAAGCGGTATATAAGCCTAAGTGCTATTGCTATGATAAAGTGCTATCTAATGTAACTATTAAAAGTTTCATTCATAAAACTCAGCACTGCAGGGACATTAAAAAAAAAGCAGGCTGCAATATAATAAAAGGCATTGAAATATTCTTTAAAATGTAAAGACCTTGTGTAATTCAAAGCAGTTTCATAGCCAGTAGATCACTGCTGAAGCAGCTTTAACTTTAACTTTGCCAGTGACCCTAATTATTTTTACTGATTGGCATCATCCAAAAGTTTATCTTAGGCGCATGGTTTATTACTTATTATTACTTATACCCTGATCTGCCATGATAGTGTTTTTCAGTAGTAACATAATTCAGTACAATTTATAGATGGATGATATTCATAGTCAGATCTTTAATATTGTTCTTGATATTACCAAATGGAGTTCTGCGGCTATAAATAGGGATATAGAAGAACAGCTGGTTTTGAATAATAAACTGAATCCATCAGGTGTTCTTGCTGTTCCTGGGTGACTCATGGAATAAGATTTATGTTGTCCTAATTGGTACAAAGGACAGTGGGAGAAAGTGGGTGATTTCCCTTGGTTTCAAGATTTATAGACATTCAACCTGATATGAATCCTAAAAGGAGAGTTACTTTTAATAATTACGTTTTGACTTAGAAGGAGACAAGGCCTCTCCTTAGTCTATACCCGGGATAGCGAACCTATGGCACACGTGCCACAGGGGCACTTGGAACCATTTTTGTCAGGGCACGCGAGGCATTGCCTGTCAGCTGGCCAGCGTGCATGTACACGCTGGCCAGCTGACTTTAGCCTTTTTTTGAAGACATTTTTCGCCCTCCCCAGGCTCCAGAGGCTTTATAGGACCTGGGGAGGCCAAAAACAGCCTCCCCTCCTCCAAGGCCCTCCAGAGGCTTCAGGAGCTTCCCTAAAGCTTCCGGAGCACAAAAAACTGACGGGCAAACTGGAAATTCAGGAATGGACTGCTGGTTTGCTTGTAGGGTCGTTTTTTGTCCTCCGGAGCCTTCAGGGAAGCCTCCAGAAGGGCCCTGAAGGCTCTGGAGGGCTTAAACCGGCCCTACGAGCAAACCAGAAGTCTGTTCCTGAACTTTCGGTTTGCCAGTAGGCTGGTTTTTTGCACTCTGGAGGTTTCAGGGAAACTCCTGAAGCCTCTGAAGAGCCTCCAGGGGGGCAGGGGAGGCTGTTTTTGCCCCCCCCCCCAATGCTCCTATAAAGCCTCTGGAGCTTGGGGAGGGCGAAAAAAGCATGCAAAAAATGGGGGGGGGGTTGTTCGTGCCTGTCATGCGTGCATGCATGCTGGGGGTTGTGCATTATGGGTGTGGCATGACCGCGCACGACCCCCCCTGCGCTCCCCCCCCCCGCTTTTAGCACGCGAGCCAAAAAAGGTTCGACATTGCTGGTCTATACACTAGCATTGCAAATGTGTGAGCATTGTTTAATTTTGGTAATAGTTTGGTAATGACAGTTCAGTAATAGTTTGGTAATAATGAAAAAATATCAAGGGTAGCAAGTTTAGCCAGCCAGCCTGCCTAGCAAGGTTATGTCCCTTCCTCCCAAGCTTTCTTTCCAGCCACCATTTATCTAATTTCAGGGGATATAAAGGCTTAGTGGAAGATTGGAGAAGCTCATAATTGCACCCCAACTCTACAGGAAGCCCTTAATCAGCAATATCTAAGGATCTCTGTTGTCCTTTCAGGTTGCTCATCTTCTGGCACAATACCAGTACTTTGTATGTCCTGTGGAATATAACAGTGAAACTAACAGGTTTGTCACAGAATGTGAACCATCAGAACTTTTCCAGCTAAAGAAATACTCCTTACCACCATTGCTTCAAGTTGCTCTGAGAAAGGTATGCATAATTAAATCCTTAAAGAAAAGCTAGATCTTAAGCATTCAGAAAATTGGCTAGAAAAAGGGCTAAAGTATCTAAAATGCTCAGCTCTCCTTCCGGTTAGTTTGTTAGAACAAATAAAATAACAACGCTAGGAACAAGCCTTTCACCCTATTTCCCACAAGTACAAGAATATATCACAAAGAAAATCACTGTTAAGTTTTTCTTTGATGGAGAAAAGTCAGTGGCTTAGAGGTTAAAGACAGTGAGCTTGTCAGCTGGAAAGCTGTCAGTCTGGGTTCAAGACCCGAGTGCTATGCAACGAGGAGAGCACCCATTACTCCTGCCCACTTAGCAGTTCGAAAGCATGCAAATGCGAGTAGATAAACAGGTACCATTCAAACAGATTTAACAGATGAACAGAGTTGGAAGGGACCTTGTGCAGGTCATCTAGTCCAACCCCACTGCCCAAGCAGGAGACCCTGCCTCTACCTAGGATCGAACTCACAACCTCCTGATTGTGAGGCGAGAGCTCCACCTCTAAACCACAACAGTCTATCAGGTAACAGTGTTCTGTGTGCCTCATGACCACAGAACTGTCTTCAGACAACGTTGGCTCCGTTGAAACTGAGATGAGCACTGGTCCCTGGAGTTGGACATGACTGAACAAGGGAAACCTTTACCCTTACTTTTCCCCCCTTCCTTTTATGACACTCCTCTACCCTTGGCGGAAGGTTAGAATCTCATTTGACCCACTATGGCAGAAAGAAAGGTCCGTTTTGCACTTGGATAGCAAGACGTGAAACAAACCTATTCTGTGGATTGTCCTCTGGGTTCAGGAAGGACTTTCTACCACCTTGAGAACTTCCTTGCAACTAGAATGCCCAGTTATGTGCTTTTCATTTAAATAGAAAGATATAATTCTGGTACCAGACCCTGATTATGCACATCCCTGTTCTGCTGGACAGAGCTTCAGTTACTTTGCTAGCTGCTATAATATGACATAATATTTATATGAACTTGATGATGCTGATGAGGAAAAAAACTAATCATTCAGCAACATGGTTTGGGTGAAATCATAGTTCTTCCGGCCTAAGTTGGCCTCAAAAGAGGAATCATTTTTACTCTTTTCATAACAGAAGAAAAGAATCATATGAACTTCTCTGGATGATATAAATCTCCAACCTTTACTCCAACTTTTACCATGGCTACCAAGATTATTTCCTGTTTGTACAATTAAGCTGCTAATTTTGCTTGAAAGCTTTTAATCCGTTAATATGCTAAATGTAGGAATGATTTTGTCTGTTAATATCAAATAAATGCTGCCCTATTGCAGGAAACTGTGACATTGTACCCATTCCAGATGCACAGCTTTGCATTATCAACATTTGCATCTTTAATTGGGCCATTTGGAGGGTTTTTTGCCAGTGGATTCAAAAGAGCTTTCAAAATCAAGGTGAGTACATAACCTGGGGTGGCATTTTGTAAGCACACATTTTAAAAAATGTGTCTCCAGTTGCTAAAGATAATAAACTATTATTAATGGACTACTGCAGTGATAATTAACTTTCAACTCGATAGTTTAAAAGATAGCAACAATGAAACCTCATAATGTTTAATGATTGAAGGCGAAAGAGATGTCTTGCATTCACAAATGTCTGTTCAATACAAAAGCATGCAAACATAGCCATTTATGTCATTTGGGTAATGAGATCATTATGCAGATTAAGCCACTTGTATCAATTTATGCCTTTTGTGTGATGGCCTCATTATGCAAATGACATAAATTGATACAAAATAATGTAATTTGCATATAAACATTATGCAAATGGCACGAGTCAATCCAAAATAATGTCATTTGTATGTCATTATGCAAGTGACAGCATTGATACAAATTATGTAATTTGCATAGTGACATCATCACACCCTTTTTTTATTGGCCAATTCCCCACTGGAATTCTATGCATTGTCCATTCTACTGGGATCTGCCAGATCAGAATTTCACAACATTCAATTGGTTGACAGTCCTACTAAATAGTTGTAACTCTGGATACTGGGCCATGTAGTCAAACAATATAAGCACGTCCTTTTCCCTTTCAGGATTTTGCTGATACTATTCCTGGCCATGGTGGAATAATGGATCGTTTTGATTGTCAGTACTTGATGGCTACTTTTGTACATGTCTACATTACCAGTTTCATAAGGTACGTTTTCGTAAGGCGTCATTTTAGAGTTGGTTGGAAGACATACAGATGCTTTTGTACCAGGCATATCCCCAATGCTGGGCTGTATGAAAGTGCTGTTGAGAGCCAAGAAGCCAATTGAGCCATTCTTTTGGACTCCAAAATAGGTGAGGTAAAACTACAACTAGGAAGCGGCACGTGGTTCCCCAGCACCCCATTTCTTCTCCCAGGTCTCCTGAGGATGCTGAACATCAATCAAATGGAGAGAAGCTTCTGGGAAGCCAACTGTTTAATTCTCATCTATAATCACAACACCAGGAAGCCTGAAAAAAACAGCCTGAAATTAGGCTGGTAAATTTCAGCCAGGTTTTCCAGGAAAAACTGGCAATGTGCTTGGAAATGGAAGTGATTTATCTTCCAGAGACCAAACATGGCCGTTTCCATCCTCTGAATCAGCTGCCTCCTGATAATGTCCCGTTGTCCCACTGCGCTATTACCAGTATGTTTGGAGTACTGTTTACTATTTATAAAGCTCTGTATAGCTTTATAATTGGTCCCCTCAATTCTTCTCATTCTCAAAACTTACTCGCTCTCTGTCCTTAAAAATAATAATACTTTAAACACTTATTGAGCTGAAAGAAAAATGCATCACAAAAATCAGTCTTTTTTGAGGAATGGAATATGGCCGGCACGGAGAGTGTTTAATTTAAACTCCAGGTTTGGCAATTGTAGACATGCAAGCCATGGGCCTGCATCCCAGAGATGCAAAGTGGCATTCAATGATCCGAAAAACGGACCCTGCATCTGCGGGAATATGCCAGGAAGAAGAAGAAGAGGTTTTACAAATGTATAGAGCACAAGTTTTGCTAAGGAAAACGCAGCATTCTTTTTGCAAAAGATGCTGTGTCAAACTTCTATGAGTTTCTTGAGTGTGTGGCAATTATAAACAGAGAAGGCCCAGTAGTGTTTGCCTATGAAATGATATCCATGAAAGGCACAGAGGAGATGTATCGTTTTTGAGTTCAGCAGCAGGGTAAAAATAGAAAGAATAGATATGGGTAGCAGTACAAACAATTTGTTCATGTCATAGAATTTTGCATTACCTCTAAATAAGTAAGGATTGACATGGTATAATATACCATGTTTTCCCAAAAATAAGCCAGGGTCTTATTTTCTTTTGATCCCTGAAATAAGTGCTTGGCCTTATTTTTGGGGAAGTCTTATTATTTTTGAGGTACAGGAGGCGGCGAGCGTGGTCACCTCATGGCTGCTGCTGTGTTGCAATATTTTCAGGGGAGGGCTTATTTTAGCACATTTGCTCAAAAGCCCGATTGGGCTTATTATCCGGGGAGGTCTTATTTTCAGGGAAACAAGAACCACTGATTTTCATCTGTCTTAAACATGATGTAAAATATTTTTCAAAAGTCCTGGGTCCCCCTGGTGATCTTCCTTGTCGCCTGACATCATTACTCCGATGGCATTTGAAATAGGGAAAGCAAAGCAGAGGTGAATTAGGGCAGAATTGAGAGATTGAGAGCTCCGATGGCAAAGCAGGCAGCACTGCTTACATCCTCTCATGCGGAATCTGTATTAGTGCTCGGTCAGTCATGCAAGAGAAGTCAGCTATTTATGCTTTAGACAGCAAATTCTCTAGTTATCTAATGGCAAATTTCCCTGGCAGCTTTTTATAATGGGAAAGTAGGCTTGCTATTGTTAGAGGAAGCACTTTGTGTTCCTGGAGAACAGGATCCGACCTGAGTAAGGCTTACAGAGGCCAGGTTTTGTAATCTAAACAGAAAGACTTGTTTACAGGAAGTCCATGAGGTAGTCCGAAAAGCCTAATGCTTTGCTGCTGCTTGTCCCACCACCAGTAGTAGAGTCAAGAGGAGAGCCTCAGGCAGGCAGGCAGGAAGGAACCCTGAGATTAACAATCAAATAAACAAGGAACAGGAAGGATTAGAGTGACAGATGAAACACAGGATTTAGGGTTAACGGATTGTTTCCCCCGCTGCCTTTGTGGTCATTAGGCTATGACGTGCTAAGAGACAGAACATCTGAGATCACCTCTTCAGCAGTGATGATCAGTTGGAATTTGGCTCTTTTCCTCTTTCCCTCACAAAAGTGTTTTTAGTGCTTATTTTTCTTCCAGAGCACACAGCTAAGGAACAAAACATGAAACCAAAATTACAGAATGAAAAGCCCAGGCCATCTCACAGCTTGATTTTGCAATATATTCTGCATGGGGCTGTTCTTGAAGATGACTCAAAAAGTTCAATTGTTTCAGAATGTACCCATGCAGGCAGTGTTCTCGAACAGAGGGCACTAACTAACACACACCCTCTGTCTCTCTCCCTCCCTCCCTCTCCCCCTCTTCCCCCCCTCTCTCGTGTGTGTATCCTTCCTTCAGCCCAACACTCTCTCTGGCATCCTGGCCAGACGAGAGTGACTGCAGAGGGTCTCCTTGAGTCTAGGGCAGCGAGTCATTCGATGGGAAACTTGCCTCTTGGAAGGAATGACCCGGTTTGGCTCCCGCTTTCGATCTGCCGCCCAACAACTGAATGGAGAAGCGAAGAAGCAGGAGAGACGAGGCAGGAAAGATGAAGCAGGAGCCAAGCCGGGTCATTCCTTCCAAGAGGCAAGTTTCCCATCGAATGACTCGCTGCCCTAGACTTGAGGAGACCCTCTGCAGTCCCTCTCATTTGGTCGGGATGCCAGCGCGAGTGTTGGGCTGAAGGAAGGAGGGATACACATGCTCACGCTCTCTCCCTCCCTCCCTCCCTCCCTCCCTCCCTCTCTCTCTCTCAAATGGCAAATCTGAGCAGCCGCTGCTGGGAGCCCATCCCATGCCTTCTCTCAACCCCCACATCCCTTCTCTCAGCTACTTTCTGCCTTGTGGACCTAGAACTGATTGCTGTCTCCAGGCTGGCTCTCCTCTCCTATTATCGTGGAAGGTGTCTCACAAAAACCACTGCGCGGCAGTTGGAAACTGCCGCGCGGTGTTTTGTTGCCATGTGTGCGGCCGCACAGCCACGCAGCTTAGAGAGAACATTAGCTGCTACCTGTAAAGTCCTATGTGGCATAGGGTCAGCTCCTGGAGGGTTCCTAGTATCTGCCTGGTGGCTTTGATCCAACAGTGTTGCTGTGCATTAAAAAGGGCCATAATGTATTGGTACTCCAGAAGCACAGCTTCTGTGTCACAGCGCTTGCCCTCTGGAATGAAGTTCCCAAGATCCTGTTGGTATTTTGCAGTGCTTTGAAGACCAGATTCTTCACCAGGCCTTTGGCAATTAGGGGGGTGGATCCTTTTGAGGAAGGGGCATATTTCATTGCTCCTTTTGCTATCTTTCCTTATGGGGGTTTCTTTTTTATTGCTATATTGTTTTTTTATAATTGATATATAAATGAAACACATAGAAAAGTGGCACTGCAGATTGAAATGTTGTCTTCTTAAATGTAAATCACCAGAGGCCCGAATCCCAGCAAACTGCTGAAACAACTCTTGGTCCTCCAGCCAGAGGAGCAATTAAATATTTATAAAACTTTGAAATCACATCTCATCGAGAAAGGATTCCTCCAACATCCCTGAGAGGCTAGGAGGACTGAAGGATGGACTACAAAAGTGAAGCCTAGCCGGGAATGCAATTCTGCTTTTGAAGAGAGAGGTGTGTGGGAATCAAGCCAGCCTGTGTCCAAAGATATGACTGTTTACGGAGGATACTGTGAACACCCAGGATGCCATCAAGGTTTTAAGTTTCTTTTTAACAACTGCATGTTTTTGCAATAATTTATATCCTTGACTTAATGGAATGAGACTTCTTGCTTTGGTCTTAACTGTTCTGTTCTGAGCAATGATGCACATACTCTTAGTAAATAAAAGTTAAAGAAACAATTAGGGTGTGCGGTTCATAAAAAAAGGTAGCCCCTCATTTAGTGCAGTGATATTAATGACACCAGTTCAGTGAATGGCATTATGTAAGACAGTGTTGGTATCTCAGTTATTTGATAGTATAACTTAAGTAACAACCAAATGGCAATAGAAGCTATTTTGCCATCCCCCCAAAAAGCAGGGAAATGGGCAAATTTGTAACTTTTTTTAGGTTTCTCAGGTTGACTGTGTTTGTAATGAAAAAAAAACAAAACCCAATAGGTATGTATTGGAGGGGAGAGGAGTCTAGTGGAAGGGTGCAGGCTTTTAGGTTATCTTCTCTGTGGGACTGAAAGTGATTGGATGCCCCTTAACGCAGTGTTTCTCAACCTTGGCTACTTGAAGATGTCTGGACTTCAACTCCCAGAATTCCCCAGCCAGCATTTGCTGGCTGGGGAATTCTGGGAGTTGAAGTCCAGACATCTTCAAGTGGCCAAGGTTGAGAAACACTGCCTTAACGGAATCATAGTCATCTAGTTACATGAGGGGTGGCCTGCATTTTCCCAAGCAAGTTCCATTCAGAGCTTTTGAGCGGGCTCTTAAGAAACGCGCCTGCAAATGTTCAGATATGTTAATTGTTTTGTGTCTTTTATGGCAAGGGTCTCCAGCCTTGGCAACTTTAAGCCTGGAGGACTTCAACTCCCAGAAAACTGGGAGTTGAAGTCCTCCAAGCTTAAAGCTGCCAGGGTTGGAGACCCCTATTTTATGGTAAGTGCAATAGAAGTGCTCTCTTGGCAATTTCAGGAAGTACAGAGCCTCGACTCAGTGTGGTTTTCTACCTTTATGGGAGGATTTGTGTATCCATCATCTTAACCTGGAAGGTCTTGGCCAATCACATTGGAGTCTTCAAACCCGCGTCACCTGCCCTGTCTGAGATGTGCTCCATTTTATTCAGACTTTTCTTGAGCCTTGCATAAACTGTCACATTTTAAAGAGTTCCTTCATCTCTTCAGTTCTTCTGCATGATTTCTGTTATCATGTCATAATCCACACACCTTATTTTTAAGTTCAAATAACAGTAAGTGGAAAGCCAAAAATTAGAGTCTGAATGTGACTGACTAAATAGGATGTAAGGCAATCAACAGCTGCAGTCTTTGCAGACTTCCTTTGCTTATGCAAATGAAGGGAGCAGCACAAAAGCTCAGTTTACTTAATTGGATTGGGCAAGATAATTTCTAGAGGATTGTTCCCTACAAATTTAATTTGAATGTTAATTTTCTTTGCAGTGAACATTCTTCTTATTTTTGTAGGGTTTTTAAGGCAGATGGCTTAACCCCTGTTTTTGCCTTGCTTTGTTTACCTTTTTAAAGCGGTTTTGTGGAATCGCCTGTCCCTCTTTGACTTCCAAAATAATGAAACCTGTCTGTTTGATTTTCAGCAATAGTAAGATTACTCCGGACAAGGCAGACATCCAATAGATTCAAACTAATGTTATCAACTGAAACTGCTGCAAATGAGGAACATTGCCACTATTTAAACCCTTGGGGATTCCTTGCAACATTTCTTTAGAAACAGGGAAGCAGCAGTAGTGTTTGTCCTGCCTGTATTGCTCCATTCTTAGCAAAAGCTGATTATAATACAGGATTCACTGAAGTTTTCCCCTTCGGCCATTGTCTTTGGCCCTCCTAGTACTTGCAGCAGCTGTGATTCTTTAGGCTGGCACAAAGAGGCCCTGAGGTTGGGTTCAGAACCTTTGCTTGAACACCCAAAGACACCTTTGCCATGCTGAGAAATCTGTATGGAACTGGGGTTCTCTGAATATGTCCATTGTTCAGGCCACTTACATCCATTCTTTTTTCTTTTCAATTGTGAGGGCCATAAGATCAGAGAAGAGCCATCCTTATAGCCGTGCTTTTGGTCAGGCAGTGCCAGAGGTAGATCGCAAGATCTGCCGAGACTACTTAACGCCTTTGGGATGAGGCTATCCAGCTACTCATCTCTGAAACCTGCCTGGTTAGGTGCCATTTCTTCCGGTTGCATAAAATACTTGTTTGGTAGGGATTGTACAGAATGAATCCTGTGGCTTGGCATTCCATGCCTTCCTTTTATGTTCAGCGAGGTGTGGGGTGGAAGGAGGATTTTAAATGGGACTCCTGTGTAGGTGAAACATTAGATTTCTAAAGTGATACTACCAACAAGTAGGATAGAGCCCAACGGACATGGCCGTTTAAGAAGGAAAAGCAGGGCAAAAAAGACCATACCTAACAAGAGATGCTGGCATTGGGTTAAAGATTAGTAGGAATATTTGCACTGAACACGCTAGTCATTGTAGGTCTGTAAAAAAAATAAGACTTAAAAAGTTTTCTTTAGAAAACATGCTACTTATTCCATCTTGATGGTGAATCATAAAAATATGTAAAGTTCAGTTTTAATATAACATTGCAATTTGGGGGGTTATGTTTGTAATTTTTTAATATATATTTTTTAATTTAAATTTGTTTGTATTTAAGCAACTGAACGCAAATGAATTAAAGCAGTCAGCTTTGTTTGCACTAATAAGAGACACCACTATGTAATGCTGCTATTCCTTCAACTGAAAAAGCCTTCTTGATAATGTTAGTTGCGCTCTAGCATCAACAAACGTTTAGGATGTCTTTTAAATAAAACACTTTTTGGTGACAATGTAAGAATAACCTAATAAACTGCTGCAAAATGATTTCAAAAGGTGTTTATTATATATGTGCTCACACACACACATATATAAGAAGCAGTGCCAATAAGCCGTTCACAAAGAATGAGAGTTTTGCTTTATAGGTTTAGTGAAAGCACTTGGAAAAATAAATGTCCCAATCGTATTGGCTGAATTAGAGTGTGTACTGGATGTCTCTTTTAAGGATACAACTCAGCTTTAGGTTTTTCTTTCTGTTGTACGCAGTTAGAAGTTTTCAACAACCCCTATTCTAACAGTGTGATCCAAAGGAAACTCTTCGCTTATGTCTGCCTTTTAATTTGCACTTTTCAGTAAAACACCTCCACTTGCTTAGCAAAATTGTGCATACTGTAAATGTTTGAACATTGAGATGTGTTTTGACTATTTTGTAGAACTGAGCTGGAGATAATAAAGCTCTGCTGAAAAAAACAACAGCATTGTGAGTTTTCTTTGTATGTAACAAGTATTTACAGATTGCAATCCAAGTTCTGGTTTAGGTCCTTATGAAGCTAACTCAGTGTTTTTCAACCTTTTTTGTGCAAAGGCACACTTTTTTCATGAAAAAAATCACGAGGCACACCACCATTAGAAAATGTTAAAAAAAT